GCCAAAGTTGTTCAAGGCTGGATTGAAGTTACTCCTACTCGTCGCCTGAGTAAGAGAGATCACGCTAAGTGGTCACTTCTTTAGATGTTGTTCGTCGTCGGAGTGGTCGAGTGAGGGTGAAGTGTGACTGCGAAGTGAGAAGTGGTTTACTGTAGGCAGCAGCACTCTGCGATTGATGTAGGGCAAAATGACCCAATTAGATAAAACAAAATGATATTCCAACCGCCTAGTTTGTAAAAACTGATTCACGGGTTTGGTACAAAATCAGCCAATTTAACGGTTACAAAGCGGTTCGATCCCTTCTCCGGGCTAACTAGAGAAACGGATCGGTTTAAGNGTGATTGATGTAGGGCAAAATGTCCCAATTAGATAAAACAAAATGATATTCCAACCGCCTAGTTTGTAAAAATCGATTCACGGGTTTGGTACAAAATCAACCAATTTAACGGTTACAAAGCGGTTCGATCCCTTCTCCGGGCTAACTAGAGAAACGGATCGGTTTAAGTCTCTAGTCATAATTGAACCGATCCAGTCCGATTATGATAATACTACTTTTTAGAAATCGGGTTGAGCGTGGGCCAAAAAACTCAACCTGAATTAAATTCGGATAATACTCGGGTTCGAGGTTCTGGATGCACAGGTTCAACCCAAACCCTCCTCGAATTAATGAAATCGGCTATGAATTTTTTTCTCTCTCCATCTTGAATCTATTACCTCTCTCCATCCGCTTCCTCTCTCCATTTGTTGCTTCTCTCCATCACAACACAAGGACATTGCTCATCTATGAGAAGACCTTGCCTAGATCTCATATGGATCTCGTCTCTGCCTCTTTTCAGGTATGGATCACTTCTCCATTGTAGTGCTTTAAAGATTGTTTACCTAAAACCATCTGGTAGTCTATAATTCTTTATTCCTAATTTTCCGACTTGTAGTGGTTTGTGATTTATGTGTCTTTATTTCTAAATTTTCATATCTGTATTTATTTCTAAAATATTCCATCTGTAATTCTTTATTTCTAATTTTCATGCCCAAATTCAACTTAAATTATTAACTTGAAATCAGCCTGAAATTTACTAGAATTATCAGCCCAAAATTAATCTGAATTAGTTAGCCCGAATTCAACCCGAGTTTTAAGAAATTAATTTAGACGGTACTCCTGTTGAGTAGCTTGAGTTAGAATTCGGGCTTGGGTTGGGTTAGGGTTGAAGTTTTTGTGTCTTCGACTGGACCTGAATTGACCTCCTAACCTGACCACGTAACCGAGTTACACCCCTAGGGCTACGTAGAGCTCAATCAGGATGAAGTTGCATTCTAGTCCTAAAACAAACTCAACAATGCACATCAAGCAAGCTCACTCAATGGCTACTTTTCTCGTGACAATGGTTCCTCTGTATACTTAGCTCTTTTTTTTTACTCTCTCTCTCTCTCCTAGCTATTATTTTCACTATTTTTTGGGACATTTTATGACCATAGTGGTAGAAGAAAAAGTTGCCTACAAAATGGTTGCAGAATCTCTCTTGCTCTTTACCTGGTGAAAAATGTTGGTATTCCTGTTTCAGATTGTAAAAAAAAAAAAAAAAAAAAGAAAAT